TCCTGCGACAATTGGATTTTGAAATTTTTGTCTTGTAGTGGAAGCAAGGATGGGTGATAAAGCTTCACTGAAAACATCTTTTCCCCATGATTATTCTTCCAGGAGTGGATTTCCCTTGGCCAGATGTCTGTAACTCAGGAACTGCCTGCATATGAAAATGTTTCTTGAAGTTGATACCTACAATGGTTCCTTAGGTTTGGTTCTATGGTAGGACTAGCCACCCCTATGGGTACCATCATCTATGGATGCTCCAAGTCCCATTATATTCAGTGCCATAGTAAAATAAAGTCTTTTTTTATACATTGGCAAAATTAAGGGGTTTGGGGGGATTTTTTCAAGCTGTGGATACAGGATCTGTGAATACAGAGGGGTGGATGTATTTTATAAAGAGAACTGTTTGGGTTTTGGCTGGTTCATGTTCTTGTGTGTCTGTTTATTTCACTTTGGCATAAGTCTGGCCATGCAAAACAGGTGAACATAGCATTGAACAAAACATACAGAATAATCACAGGATGTCTTAAACCTACACCTTGTTGATAAACTCTACAAGCTAGCTGGCATTCCCCCCCCCCCATGTGCGACGGGAAGTTGCTACTAAATGTGAGAGAAATAAGGTTGAACATTGTGGAAGCCACCCACTACATGGCTACAAGCCTCCTCCCAGTAGACTCAAATCAAGGAAAAGCTTTATGAGAACTACCACTGCTCTTGGCGTCCCCCCAGCGACAGCAAGGGTATCCCTCTGGGCAGCTAAACCAGGAAATCCCAAATGGATGGCCCCCCATGTGGGTCTTCCTCCAGGGGCAAACCAAGAATGGGCAACTTGAAAGCCCCTGAACAGACTCAGAAGTGGAGTGGTCAGATAAAAAGACAACCTGGCAAAATGGCACTACCTAAAAAAACCCCATATGTTGTGTGAGCAGAACAGTCAACTTCGCGTCTGTATGCTTGTCCACTATGTCCTGCCTCATGTACAGAGGAGGAATTGTTGGAGGCTACAGACAATGCTGTTGCTGTTGCCCGTTTTTGGTCAAAAGATATTTCACCACCTGCACACCTTCTATTTTTATCAGTTTTATACTAATTTATGCAATGCTTTTGATACGAAATAAATAACTAGGAGAGTTATATTCTATTCAGTATTTCTGTTCAGATCAATAAAACCTGAGGATGTATTTCCCTTAGATGAGCATTAATACTTGTCCGAACGTATCTCCCTCTACGTTCCGCCTCGTAGTTTAAGATCAGCCGCGGAGGCCCTGCTTTTGCAAATGTGGCTGGTGGAGATGAGGGACAGGGCCTTCTCGGCAGTGACCCCCTGCCTGTGAAATTCATTCCTCAGTGAAATTAGATCAGCGCCTTCCCTCCTTTCTTTCAGAAGAAAACTGAAGACGTATTTGTGGACCCAGGCTTTTGGCTAATGATATAATGGCACCTGAACAGTGAATTGGACCAGACAACAATTGTTATAATGGAAACGTTTTTATGATTGATAATTAATGTTGTTTTAATGTGTTGTATTGGTATGTTTTTATTCTGCTTTTATAATTGTTAGTATTGCGGCATCGAATCGCTGCCATTGTGAGCTGCTCTGAGTTCCCCTGCAGGGGTGAGAAGAGAGGGGTAAAAATTTATGTAAATAAATAAATAAATATTTCTTTTTGCTTTTTTGCTGCGTCGTATGTTCTCCTGTGACTGTCTTTAGAAACATCAGCCAAAATTAGTTTTAATAGGATTTTATTTATTTATTTATTTATTTATCATGTCATCCGCAACAAGAACATTGTATTACATTTCTAACAGAACAAAACAAACAAACATATAAAATAATAGGATGCATACTTTTATTGTTACTCAACTTTAAGTGCAGTAAGTGGGGAAAAAACACTTTAAAAATATGTTCGTAATAGATGTGACTCTATCTAAAGTCTGTTTTCTGTAAGATTCATTGATCTTACATTAGAATAAAGTTACAGCCAGATGCAAGCAGACAGCAATGAAAATAAAGGATTTTCTAGCCCTTTACCGTTTCTTAAGAAACAACAGCATCTCTTTCTCAACATTAAAACAATTGAGCTTTAATATTAAGAGACTGGTAAACATTTGGCACATGTTGTTCAGCACTAAAAATTTCATAACTGAAGAATACCATAATTTGTTTTCATTCTCTGGAGAGGTGCCTGTGCGCTCTGGACTTCTTTGGGGAAATAAATCGACAGCATTTTCGAAGAGTGTAGGTGACAGGACTATAATGATAGCTTCATTGTAAAACACAGCCAGAACTCCTAGTCCGCAGATACAAAGAGAAATGAACTTAGCAGTACAAAGAAACTGCCTGGAAGCTTTGCTGCCTTTCCCTTCAACTCCCTTTTTTATTGTTGGTGTGTTCAGTGCTGTTGTTTCTTCTTTAAATCTCTCTCTCTCTCTCCCTCTCCCCCTCTTTATGGAATAAATCCATGTCTGCAGTTGATGATAACTCCCAGCCGAGGAAAGTGTTTTATCTTTTGTCAGATGAGACAATGCAGTGTTGGAGAAGGAAGGCAACTGAAAAATAGATAGTGTAGTTTTGATGCATTTCCTGCATTTTGCTAACTTTGATTTTAATGACAAAATATTTGTTGCTGATTCTCCGCAGATATAAATCTGGGGAAAGAAATGACATGAATCTTAGGACTGTAGTGCACAATAAATTTCTTATGTGATCTGCTTTTTGTGTTGGACATTTAAACTATACTATCAGTTGTGACAAATGTCAACAAGTCTGTTTTGCTACATTTACATCTCACGGGTTTCTGTTAAAAATTGAGGCTCTAGACATGGGAGCATGCTTGAAGAGCACACACATTTTCTTTCTGGAAATTATATCCATGTGGGAAATTTAGTCTGTCCTGAAAGAGTATAAAGATTCACAATGCAGCATGTTGGTTGTTTTCTAATAAATCACTTTCTCCCTCTGGAAAAATTCTTTTAAACAAATTCATGTAAAGGAACCATTAAATGTACATCCTATTTCTCTCATTGGTCTTCTTCATGTTGCAGGAAGTTTGTGGTGATGTACATTGGGTTCAATCCACTTTTTTCTTGGTTGTTGTAGGTCAGGGTCCTCAAACTTTTTAAACAGAGGGCCATGTCACAGTCCCTCAAACTGTTGGAGGGCCAGATTATAATTTGGAAAAAAAAATGAATGAATTCCCATGTACACATCTTATTTATAATGCAAAAAAACCACTTAAAAACAATAGAATAATTAAAATGAAAACAATTTTAACAAATATAAACTTATTAGTATTTCAATGGGAAGTGTGGGCCTTCTTTTGGCTGATGAGATAGGATTGTTGTTGCGTGCTTTTTTATTATTATAGATTTTATGTACATAAAAAGAGGGAACAATATTTAAGAGTGTCACAGTAGGGAGAAAAAAGATAAGGAGTGAGAAGAAGGGGTAGAAGGGGGGGAGAACACACTCATACGGCACTGGGGGTAGCACGATAGAAAGCAAGAAGAAGAGAGAAGCTGGAGAGGAAGGTGAAAAGAAAGTGAGAGAGAAGGGGGAAAAGAAGGAAAAGGAAAAAGGAAAGAGGGAAGGTGAGAGAGAAGGGTGGAAAAAAGGTAAAGAAAGAAGAGAAATCTAAGGACTCATCCTCGCACACACGTACACATTCACATACATTCGTCCATTTCATTCGGGGGGGGGGATGTAAAAACTTAAGCAAAAAACACTTCCAAGTTAACCAGAGCAAAAAATTATTCTCTATCTTCAGGCTAATGCCTAGTATTATATTGAGTTCAGCGTCTTCGTGCTGTTGCAAAAAAACTTTCTTTCCCTTTGTTATTTCTTCAAGTTTCCTTTGTTTCCATTTTCGAGATATTTTAGGAAATTGTCCCAGTCTGTATTTTTTGTCTTATTACTGTTGGCAGATATTCTTTGTGTGAGTAGGTCCATATTCATGATGTCAAGTATCTTCAATGTCCATTGTTCTATTGTTGGGATTTCTTTGGATTTCCAGAGTTGGGCCAGCTTGATTCTAGCAGCTGTTATAAGATAGAAGAAAATCTTGTTTGCATTGCTGTCCAGGTCGAAATCAGTGATGCCTAACAAAAAATATTCCGGCTTTAAATCAAATTTCATGTGTAGATTTTTTCTGATTCTTTGTGGATTTGATGCCAGAGGGACTTTATTTTCTTGCATCTCCACCACATATGTATGAAGTCTCCTTTTGCTTTCTTGCAAAATATTAATTACTTATAGAGTGGCTAAGTTTTGTGCAGCAGCTATAAAAATAACGAAGCAGTTTGTGGATGATTTTAGCAGATAAAGTTTTGCCATGGTCGTATAGTGGTTAATACTCTGCCTTGGGTTGTTGCGTGCTTTCAAGTCATTTCAGATGAAGGTATTTCAGATGTATGGCATTGAAAGGGCATCAGTGAGAAATGGGCAGGTACCCAGAAATTAAAATTAGCATGAGGTTGTTTATTCCAGTGAGTTACTTATCCAAGTTTGATATTCCCAAATTCAGGAAATCTTTCACCCTGGCCAGATTTAATGTTCTGCCATGAGCACTACTGCAGGCATCCCCTACCACAAGTATACCCATGCGGTTTGGAGGAAGTGGAAACTGCCCATCTTGTCTTGTTACATTGCCACTTCTACAGGGGCATTCAAGCTGCTCTTATTATCCCTATTGTGCAGAAGATCCCTGGCAGAAGTGATGAGAATACTATTTAAAATATCTAATAGGTGCTATGTAATAATGGACCATTTTAATAGTTGCTAAGTTTTGTGCTGATATAAAATAAAGGGATCAGATTGCAGATGGTTTTAGTGAATAATGTTTTAACCTACACATTTTAATATCTATTTTCATGGATTTTAATCAAGTGTCATTTGTAAACCATGCTTCAGACTCCACATGGATTTGTATATAGCATATTTTAGATGTGTTGCGGATATGTTTCACATCCTGGAAACATGTTTCTTACGTTATTGTTTTTCCTGACAGAATTTGGGAACCGTTACTGCCGTGCCGATTAAAGTTCCTCAGGTCAGCTCCTTGCAGAGGCTGGCAGGACAAAGACCAGCAGTGCTACCTCAGGTAAGATTCATTTGCTTAATTTAGCTGGTTTTAGAACAATTATATTGTGAACCATGTCTTCAGATTTCATTAATTCATGTAAGGAGTTGCAAAAGTATCCAGCTTTCAACAAAGGCCCTGTATCTGTGGAAGGTGATTTCTGAGTCCATGTCCCTTCTAAGATGTGTAACTTGAATTCATACAAATTAAATGCTTATCCCAGCAGCCTAAACCTATGTGGATGAGCACTGAAAGCTCTCGTGTCTTGTTCATTTGTGAGGATGGGGTAACATTTAATTTCAGGTGACACACACCCCCTAAAATCTATGGGGATGGTATGATTGTAAGTTATCTGACCCTGACATACCACAGTCATTTCTTACTTACTTAGGTGGTCCCTCATTATCCAAGTAGGATTGTCTTCCAAGATCGGTATGCTGGCGGTGGGTCCATAGGTAACTGTGGAACCCTATTCTTGATCTGCATGTTCTCCTACAGTGAGGACATTGGTTTTCAGGTGGAAGGTGGTCCTGGTCGGGGTTGGCTTGACGCACCTTCCTCTTGGCACGTTTCTCTCTTTCGCCCTCGATTCGTGCCTCTTCAAATTCTACAGCACTGTTGGTCACTGCTGACCTCCAGCTGGAGCACGCAAGGGCTAGGGCTTCCCAGTTTTCAGTGTCTATGCCAGAGTTTTTAAGGTTGGCTTTGAGCCCATCTTAAAATCTCTTTTCCTGCCCACCAATATTCTATTTTCCATTCTTGAGTTTGGAGTAGAGCAACTGCTTGGGGAGACGGTGGTCGGGGCATCCAGACAACGTGGCTGGTCCAGCGGAGTTGATGGCAGAGCACCATCCCTTCAATGCTGGTGGTCTTTGCTTCTTCCAGCACGCTGACATTTGTCTGCTTGTCTTCCCAAGAGATTTGCAGGATTTTCTGGAGGCAGCGCTGATGGAATCGTTCCAGGAGTTGCATGTGGTGTCTGTAGACAGTCCACGTTTCACAGGCATATAGCAGGGTTGGGAGGACAATAGCTTTATAAACAAGCACCTTGGTATCCCTACGGATGTCCTCAAACACTCTGTGCTTCATTTGGGAAAAATGCTGCACTCACAGAGCTCAGGAGGTGTTGTTTTTCAGTGTCAATATTGACTTTTGTGGAGAGGTGGCTGCCACCTCTCATTTCATGGAGCTAGTGGCTACTGTGAGCTGTACTCCATCCTAACCAGGTTTCTGTGGCAGGGAACCCAAGCACTTCACATAATGGGTTTTGTTGATTTGTTATTAATAGCTATGCTTTTAATGGGTTTTAATCAATTGCCAGTTTATGGTATTTTAATTTTTTTGTATTTTATATATTTTAAAGCTCTGTTTCTGTTAACTGTTGGCCATTATTTCTTTTGAACCATTTGTACAGTAAAAGCTAACAGATAACCTCCCATTCTTACCTTTCTACATAATATATCTTTGTTACCAAAGCTGCAAATCATTAGGATAAAAATTAGAATCCAGCCATTTAACAAGTCTATAAGATCTATTGTTAACTATTGTGGGCAAGGAAGACTGCAAACTAAAAATCCATCTCTTCTGCCAGATCTTACCCAGCCAACATTGAACCATGAGTTTGGGATTTGCATTCTATTGCTGCTCTATTTTTATCTTTCTACCTTATGTATTTTATAGTGGTGTGTTTTGACTGTGATGGACCACACCTCAAGCTGTGAGGAGAAGTGGGCAACAAATACCATTTATTATTGTTGTTATTATTCATGTGGTAGTAAATAATTACCTTTCAGAAGATTTGAAGGGGAAATAATATACAAATGAGACCGGAGTAATATAAAATGTATGCAAACTGTAGGGAAAAACATACAGTATTTCAAACCTTCATTTAAAATATGTACTTGTATAACAAAAGCTTGGCTTCAGTTTCTTTTTGAGTATAATATAGAGGCACCACTTAGGGGATATATGTTCTCATATTTTACCTTTTCCATAAAAATAAACCAGGAAAGTACTTACTTTTCTTCCCAGATTCAAATCAAAGTAATGGTTTTCATCTTTGAAGTCTGTACACATAATGTCTTTGTAACTTCTTGGAAGTTATAACCATAAGAATGAGTCCAGGCTTGACTTCTTTTATCATTTGAGGTTTGTCACATGGCAGTAAGAAGCTGGGACATTGCAACCTGTCTTTTTGTCTCTTGTCTAGTTGTACAGATTTGCTGTTTTAGTAAAAATAAACATTTTATGGGTATTCAGCAATATAGGCTTATTTTTCAAAGGGCAGATGTTATGATGTTGTTGTGTGCTTTCAAGGCATTTCTAATTTAAGGAGATCCTAGCTTATTGTGACCCCTGCTCCCCAATTTGGGGGGGGGGGTTCTTTTTCAATATTTGTTTGGGGTATTCTTTTATTTTCTCTATGGCCACCGTAATACTAATGAACATCTCCTAAGGTTTGTCTGTAAATGTCTGAGTAATGTAACATAGCAATTGAATAAAGTTAGAAACACATGGGAATATATGTAATACTGCAAAAGCATTATATTCTTGCTCTTACGTTTGTATATAATGGTAATTAATGGCAAAAGCTTTTTGAGATTGTGAAGCAATTGGGAATTACCCATCTCCCACATTTTTAAAAGAGAAGATGTTTGGAAAAACTGAAATATGCAATTTTATTTGCATATCAAAAGCTAAATTTGTCTTACATCTTTAGAACCAAATACGCCTTCACTTAGAGATTGGACTATTCGGCAATCTATATATCTGTACCTACAATTCAATTCTTATTTTGCAGAATATCCTAGTACAATTCATAGAATTTTGAGTGAGTCTTAAAAACAATTCCTTCATTCCAAAAAAGCCTTCCTCTAATTCTTGTTATCCAAGAAATTTTGATGGAGGGCTCCGTCTAGCAGACTAAATCTAAAGCTTTGTTTTCTTAGAACCAAGAGTATACGGAGACAAAAAAGTAGTCTCCTGCATCCCTATGTATATCTTTCCTGCAGCAAGATAGTTTGGCCTGGAGTACAGAAACTGAAAAGAGTATGCTAAAACCTGATTTCTTGAACGCGTATAAGCTGCTTAAAGGTCATGTGTTCATGGCTTCCCTTTCTGCAGCCAAATTGGTGGATAAAGGAGGATCACAATCAGGATCAGATTTTTATCTTAGGTTTTGAACATGATGGCATTCCACCCCTCTTCCCATTCACCAAAGCTATTACATGTGTAAATTCTCAGGAAATACATTTATATAAATGAAAATGAAATGGTACCTGTGGTTAAGTGTACATTTTTAACTTGTAGTTATGTATAATTATAGATAGATGTTTTAAAGGGTAAGTATTTAAAGTTGCATAACTAGAGGGTTGGTAACCAACTCAGCTCATGTTGAGTTGGGTTACCATGAAAACAGGGGTAGAGTCAACTGCCACTTGGCAGGGCAGCCATTTTAAAACAGCTAGTCTGTAGTCAGTGAACTACAGGGAAAGTCTGCAGTCTGTGAGCTGCAGGAGTGGCTAGATCTCTAGTAGTGAGGGCCAGGAAGGTAATCTGTAATTTAAAAACTACAAGGAAAGGCTGATTCTGTAGTAATGAGAATCGGGAAGGTTTTGGCTTTTAGCCTGAATAGTTTAGATAAGTCGAGTTGGCTTATTTATATTAATAAGTAGGGTATGAGAGAAAGGGTGAGAGAAACCCAGTGAGAATCTCTATTGCAACAGAAACATCACAAAGAAAGAATAAGCTTGCAACTGAAGTAATCTATTATGGAAAGAAACACAGTTTGAAGAAAAATAAGTTTGAAACCTGTTTAGTGGAAGGAAGAGTCCTTTCCAGAACTGTTTAAGAAACGTTATAAATGTAACCTATGAAGATATGTGCCTCTAAGAGTTAAGTTACATTGAAACCATCACGCTCCTTCCACATTTCAATAACTGTTTTTTTTCTAAAGCTCAGTCTCTGTTACAATTCCTTTCCAAGTTAAGTCACACTACACAAATAATTTTTTTTGACAAAATAGTTTGCATTTAAACAAAAGGTTCTCAATATATAAAGAAAATACAGGGTGACTAACTTGTATGTATAATGCAGAAACATTTCTTGGGAGGATGCTTTAAAAAAATAAAAACCTTATATGATAAACCCTTAATTGTCTGTTTTAGTACTTTTCCTTAATGTTTTCTTGCAGAATGTGGAGTGTGGGGATTAGAGCAGTATGTGGGAGAGCTTCTTGTTTTATGTTCTATAAAGGGTTCATTTTCTTTGACCTCTGATGGTAGACAGCAGTTTTAATTATTTTTACTAACATGTATCAAGGGTGAAGTTAGTAAGGCAATATCATTTATTATTTGTAAAAATGAAATAACTTGAACATTCAGTATGCTTGAGAACAGGTTAGGGCTAGATCATACAAAGCGGGATATGCAATTGTGCTGTGTTATCACAAGGGGGCACAAATGATCTAATATTGACTTAACCTAGCCCTTGCTGTGAAAAAAGAACACATATCGCAATGTTATAATGGCAGGAGACTTGGTTTATCTATAAATTATGCATTGGCAATGCAAAGCATTAAAACACACTGTGGCAAAGTATCTTTAAGTCAAACCTAACTGCAGCACTTATCTTGTTTTGCTATAAATTCACAGTAATGCAGAATGAATTGTTTATTATCACTAATGGAATGTTTAATTCATATTATCCTTCACTGAGGCAAGGAAGCCAAAGGTTAAGGTTACCACACTGATCATTGAGGGTGAGAGTTGTTGTTAGTGCATTTCTGATATGTCACATTTGAATTGCACATTGCCTTTGCCTGGTTTGCAACTTTTGCTGCTTTCAGTTATTGCTATTATTATCTCTGCAGTGAAAGACTTTTACCCCCGAAAAGGCAGGTTGTAACCCACAGGGAGCAAGGAGGGCTGGTAACACCCAGTAGACAAAAAAGACAAAGACTTGGGGTGTTGAAAAATATGGTTTTATTCTTATAATTAGTCCAGTGCATTTTGGCCTAGTAA